CATCACCATCATCACCATCACCATCATCACCATCATCATCACCATCATCACCATCACCATCATCACCATCATCATCACCATCATCACCATTATCGTCACCATCATCATCATCACCATCATCACCATCACCATCATCACCATCATCATCATCACCATCATCATCATCATCACCATCACCACCATCATCATCATCACCATCATCATCATCATCACCATCACCATCATCATCATCAGAGGAAGAAGAACAAAGGAAGAGTTGACAGTAATAAGGAGGACCTGCAGCAGCTCCTTTCATCACACGTCTGACTGAGACGAACTCACCTGAACAAGTCCTCACCTGTCTGACTTCACTCTGTTGCCATGGAAACACACTTCAAACCGAACTCTGAGCACAACCTGGAGTTCTGAAAGGTTCCACTGAAACCAGTGTTCGGTACCAACAGAACCACTGGTTCAGACTTGGCTCATGAGGCCTGTCTGTCTGAACCACTGGTGCCACTGGTACCAGACCAGGACCCAGTCAAGGTCTTGGACTCTGTTACATACATTCTTTCAGTTTTACATGAAACCACATTCAGACTGTTGGTTCTGACCCGCTCTGAACTGGACCACAGAACCAGACAGAACTGAAAATCACCTTGAAATTACTTTTATTGTGAAAAGGAACTTTTCAAAATAAAACTGAACTGAGTTCCAACAAGCAGACATTAGATTCAGCTGCAGGTTGGACTCGGTCTCCTCACCATATGGGTAAACTGGTCTCTGCTGGTCCAGCTGCAGGGGTGTGGACTTCAGGACCTGTGGGACAGACAGCTCAGCCAGACCCGGTTCAGAGGTGGGACACAGTCTGGGTGAGGCGTCTGAACCCGGAAGTAGAACCAGCTGTCGCAGCAGACCCTGAAAGACAAACCAGCGTGAAAAGGCAGGAGAACTGGATGGTTCTGGTTCTGGTTCTGGTCCTGGTCAAAGACTCACGGAGAAGCGACCCCTCCAACGGCCCCCGCTGCCAATGAAGAACCTGGACCCTCTGGTGCTCAAAGTGCTAGGGAAGGACCGGACCTGTTTCCTGGGAGACAGGAGAATAGTTAACAGGTCCAGAAAATCCAAACTGGGTCTAAACTCCTTCAGTGGACCTGAACCATTGAACCAGTTCTGRTCCAGGACTCACAGCTCCAGAGGCAGTCCACAGTCAACGGTCAGCGCAGCGTACTGCCCGCTGACAGACAGAACCAGGGTGTGCCACATGTTGTTGTCCAATGGGACGTCTTTGAAGGTGAGCCGGCTCCAAGGACCAGGCAGCCTGGTCTGGAGATGGACCCGGGTCTCAGAGATCCGTAACCCCAGCAGCAGAGAACCAGACACCTCCTTCACCACAGAGAACAGGAACTCACTGGTCTGACAGGAGACACAACACGTTAGACAGGACTGAACGGACTGGACCAGGTTCTGGATGGTTCTGCAGGTTCACCTTGGGTCTCAGTTTCTGGACCTTGACTGTAGCGACCAGCGAGAACTCAGCAGGAAAACCATCACAGTTGGTGAAAATCTGAGAGGCAGAAAAACTCAGAGCTGCTGGGGGGGCGCCGGTCAGTCTGAGACCTCTGGACCCTCTGGACTGAACCATCTGCACCTGTTCAGACAGAACCCTGAGAACCAGAACCACCTGACGTGTTTCACTCAGTCTGTGTACTACCTGTGTGGGCGGGGCTTGTCCTGGGCGTGGCAGGGCTACAGTCAGGAGGTCGAGAGGCAGCAGATCTGAGGAGGAAACAGAACTTTTGAACAAACATCCTGAACTTCATCACCGACAGCAGGTTCTGGTCCTCAGTCCAGTGTTGGTTCTGGGCACCTGGACCTGCAGCTATAAATAAAACCTGATTAGAGGTGACAGATTATCTGCTCTGATTCTTTCTGAAACCAGCTGCAGGAAACTGAACTGATGCAGATCTTTGTTCCTCAGACTAACGCTGATTAACAGGTCGGTTCTGAGTGGTTCTGGATCAGATCAGCTGGATCTCCCACAGMCTGATGAGCTTATCTGCAGCTTTCATCAGGAGCTAACATCAAACCCAGGTTTCCTGAGATCACAATCAGACCTTGGTGTGAAGATCTACAGGAGCTGCTTTAACACTGTAAGACCGACCAGAACCAGGGACCAGTTTCTGTAGAACCAGAACCTGAGGCAGGCCTAAAATAAATGTCTCTGAGGACCACAGTTCCTGCAGGTCAACAAGCAAACAAATAAAACAACAAAGTAAACAAATAAACCAAGTGTTACAAAGATTTAATCATGAAAACAACATACAGAACCTCATAAAAGTACTGATAATTAAACAAAAATAACACATTTTGCCTCTTTTTACACAATATTTTCACATCTCTGACTTCATGAATTTTAAACCAATTTTATTTTAAATTTCTTAGTTTTATCTTCAGCTGCTTGTAGTTTGAACTGTCCTGAGTTTTGATAGAAATGATTTTTTACCAGCTGTAGAAACCAAACCTGTCTGAGTTTAACTTAAAGTATTTAAAGTAGAAAACTGGAGGTTTGGGTTTCAGAGATGAACCAAGTGCTGGGCCGAACTTTGATCACGATCGTGTCAGATGTGGACCACAGGCCGCCAGTTGAATAACCCTGACCTAAAGCAAGTTTGTATTCTGAACTCAGATTTTCAGTCCTGATGGAGGAGACAGGGACAGAGACAGAGAAAGAGACAGAGACAGAGACAGACACAAAGACAGGGACATGGACAGAGACAGAAACATGGACAGAGACAGAAACAGGGACAGAGACAGAGACAGAAACAGGGACAGAGACAGAGACAGAGACAGGGACAGAGACAGAGACAGAAACAGGGACAGAGACAGA